CTCTCAACACTTTGACTAAACTTTTCTATGTTTGCCTTACCTTGTTCACCAGCATGTTCACTTGCTCCCTGTACATTTCCTTCAAGTCCACTATATCCGCTCGAAGTTCCTCCAACTACCACGCAACAGAAAAAACCCACTTTTCTTTTAACTCAAAGCCTACCACTTTCTATTCTATTATTTTATCCACATATCTTACCTCCTCGTCTCGTTCACCCATCAATTCCAGAGCTGCCGCATGCCTTTGCCTTAGTGCTTCCAGCTCTGCCTCCAAACCCGGGACCCTCTCCGCTTCCACTCGTAATTTCTCACACTACATCCACATTGACCAAATGTAAGACGACACATTGTTATAACGCTGAGCATAAAATCACAACTCCAAACTCTCAGTGCTATCTATACCTCTGCTGTCATTTTGACCAGTTCTTCAGCCAGGGAATCTCGGATAGACTCCATTGATGCCTGCCGCAAGGCAAATACAGCCAGGAAAAGGTTAAATTTATACAGTTAGGTTCTACGTTAGTGATGACACTAACAATCAGCCTATCGTACGTCGACAAGAGGAGCTAATCTTCTAAACCAGCTTATTAAAGCTTGGGTAACCATAGGCCTTAACAAACCCATCATTTGTCAGCATGATCCCCAACACCCATAGTGCCCACTTTAACCCTATCCAAGGTGAGTCCTAGTAAGGACTTTTAGATAACAAACAGATGTGAACCTAAACCCCATTACTAAGCCAGTTTGCCAAAAGCCTACCAATAGGCTTACACAAATATGAATTGGATACTTTCTACACCTACCAAGCGGGACATGTATGAAGCAAGTTCGCCCTCTTTTTGTCGAAGTGTGGCTTCATAAGCACTCGGTGTGATGCTCTTCATGTAATACGGACTCATAGTTGCCTCAGGCGTGCTTCTCTTCTCAGAAAACCTATCTGAGGAATCAAGCGAAGCTTGCAGATAATAGCTCTCCTCCATGCTTCCAAGGCTGCTTGCGCTTGAGAGCTTTCTAGGCAAGATTCCTGATGACATAGTTAAGGATTTACAGATATGCAAAGCCTGAGTTATTAAATAGTAATCCAGATAGAGATGCATCACCATTCTCAAAGGCAGAATTTTGCCTTGCTATGGGAAGCTGTTCAGAGGCTGCCGAGGAATTGATACGGGCAGTTCTTTCAAGATCCAAACGTGAAGCCTTCTCCCTCTCTAGGTCCTAAAAAAAATCCGGCCATGTTGAGAAGAATAAAGAAGAGCAATAAACAGGAACAGTTTGCATGCTAGTAGAAGCTATAAGTAGCTAAAAACAAAATGTTGAGAACAATAAAGAACCGCAGTGGAGTACGATATATATGCTACTTGGAATGAACAAGTTTGGGAAAGCACAGCATTTCTTCTTCAAAAGCACTACTTTGATTGATATAAAACCCCGCTAGGTACTTTGGTCCTTTTAATTCCATAACTGCTGGGGGATTTCTTACGAAACCCATTCCTATCAAATAAAGTTAATGTCTGTAAAACTATGTAGCACCTTTTGAATAAGCTCGTTGTGGAGCAGCACTTCCTGCAACTCTTGCTTATGTTTTCTCCGCAGTTCCCTCATTTCCACTTCAAGTTGGTTTGCTCGACCTTCTAAAGTATCTGCTTCCTCCTTAGCTACCAGATACTCCTGTCTATTCTCTGCTGCTCTCTGCCTTTCCTTCTCGAGCGACTTGCTTAACTGGCCCTGTTCTGCTCTAAGACATGAAAGCTGGATAGGAGAACTGGGTAAGCTAAAATTTAGAGAAAGCATGTGACATTGATGAAGAACAGTGTTAATGAAAATAGGAAACCTGGGCCTCTAGAACATTGATCCTTGATAAAGTTTGAGAGAGGCGTTCATTCACAGAGCGCTCTCGTTCTTCAGCTGTTGCAGCTTTAGTTTCTGCTTCCTGAATAACCGTAGAAATTAAACAAAATGATAGAGAAAAGAGATATTATTGGCTGAATATAGCATTTAACAGTGGTGTTCAAGACACCTGCAGTCGAGCATTCAGAGTTCTTTCTACGGCAGCCCAAGCTTCTGCTCTTCTGGCTGTAGTTTCCTATCGTCAATTAGATAAGAAGCATGCAATGTTACAAAACAGTTTAAAATTTGTTATCTCAGGAAAATTTCTGAAAACAAAAAAGAAGGATCAATTTTCTACCTGCATAGCCTCAATCTGTCTTAGGAGAGGCCTCGTAGACTCAGGAACCTGGGTGATTAATTCCTCACACCTTCGCTCACTAGCCTACAAGAAAGGTAGTTTAGCAGACAGTAAGCAGAACAAACTATTAGTAACTAGAAGTCTTGTTTAAACATCATGGGCTTGCCGAAGAGTGAGTAACCATAAGACCATAACCGAACAAAGAAATATGCATAGAGACAGCAAAATATCTTGATTTACCTGGTAACGCCTTTGAAGGTCCTCAATTTCCCCACGGAACATGTCTTCCCTAAACACTGCCTGAAAAAAACCACCAACTAGGTAAGTATCAATAAAAATGATCAGATGACATCCCAGCAAGTACAATATCCAAATTTGATTGAGTAAGACAAAACCTGTTGCTCCTTTTTGCTTAAGGTTTGCCTCAATTCTTCCAGCGCCTGGACTAGCATAGATTCTCGCTCTGCGGCCTCCTTTAGACGATTCTCTAACTCTGTTCTCGCTTCATTGTTGGTGCGCTCCTCAGCTAATGCTTGCGCCTCCTTCGCTGCAGCTAATGCGTTCGAGTAATACTCTTTCTGAGAAGTAAGTTCCGCTTGATGTTTTTCTATGGTCTCTTGCAGCAGATCCTCGGTAGCTGCCTTGTCCCTTTTAATACTTTCTACCTTATTTTCTTCAGACTGACAAGTAAAAGGAAAAACTAAGGAAGCTAAACAAACTTGGCCAATGCTTTAGTCATTTATATATTGATCCTGCCTACAGAAAATTGATTTTGAACCAGCCTTTAACAAAGGCTTCTGGAAAATCAAGACAACCCTTCATGCTGCTTTGTTCTTAATCATGAGGTTTGTAAAACAACAAAAGCACCGCTAGCAACATCAATTACCTGAAGCTTTGTGATCAGTCCTCTCTTCTCTTCTTCTACCTCTCTAATCTAACCGGCAAAAAAATAAGGTAAGAGAAGAAGGCATGAGATTGATGGTACAAATAAAAATGAAACACATAGACTTTTATTATATACCTGAGCCCTTAGCTTCCTGATCTGAGCTTCTTGAGCAGCTTGTTTCTTCGAAAGCTCTTCGCCTACATTACAGGCATTAATATTAAGGGATCAAGCTGAGAAAAATTAAACGAAGTCCTTTCATTTTCCAGGCATGTTCAAACAGTGAGTTCACTCTTGGGAGGCATTATTAATTTTTTAACACTGAGAAAAGTATTATCCATGATTCAAAGCATTCCACAAGGTTGCCTTACCTTCAGCCATAACTTGAGTTA